ATTTGTAGAATTTTCAAAGGACTGGAAACACATTGAACCATGCTAACCATGCTATGAATACACAACCAGATCCAGACTGTGGAACTATGGTTTCAACAGATCAATGTTAAGTAAAAGAAAGGGAAAGATGGGACCTTGAAGATTGAGATTACATCAAAATGTTTTTAATGGATAAGGTTTCTGAGGTTGTACACTTAGATGATAAAACTGTATGGATGTATAAGACAGTGATTAAAGTTCATGACAATGATAACTCTGGGGAAAAAGGGAGATGCTAAGACTGTGACAGAATATAAGAGGTACCTCAGCCTACTACAAAATTTTTCAACTTGGGTGCTGTTTCTAAGAGTGTTTCCCTGTTTATCAGACAGGGATTTAGCTTAGTGGTTCCGCCACCTGCATCGCAAGTGCAAGGTCCCAAGTTCGATCCCTGGTACCAAAAAAACCCAAAAAACAAAAACAGAAAAAAACCTGACATCCCTAAAATACAATAGCATACATTTATCATTTGGCTGGATGAAGACTGTCACAGTACAAACATTTCCTCGGTAGAGATGTTTCTTAGATATTTTGGCTTTTTAGTTAAATGTATCTGTAATAAATTTTCTAAATGCCTTTTTTGTCAAATTGTACTATTTTAACAGCTGGTCACATTACTACTTTATTATTTACTGCTCCTGAAAAATCACTGCAAAAATATTGTTTAATTCTTATGAAGAATAATTTGTGAGAACAGCCTCTACAGCCTAATAGTTCTCTCATTTTTTTTTTATTAGTTTGGTGAATAAATTCTTGTTTGTTTCTTTGTTCATTTTGCGTGCTAGGAACTGAACCCAGGGCCTTCACACTGAGCTACAATCCCTAGCCCTTTTAATTTAATTTTACTTTACTTTATTTTTTAAATTTTAAGATAGTATTTCACTAAGTTGTTAAACTGCACAGGCTGGGCTCAAAATTATGATCCTCTTGACTCATTCAGCCTCCCAGAGTGCTGGGATTACAAGCATACAACACCACACACAGCTCAGGTGATCTTGTCTGAATAACATAGTGTGAAAATATCACCACATTCAGAAATCCTTATCAAATGAATACATCTAAACAGTGAAAATATCTGCCTAAATGAAAAAGTAAGGTCACACTAAGTCGTCCTCAAATTATTGTCAAACTGAATGAATAAGGTAGCTCTAGGAAGATGGAAAAACTTTTCAAAGTATAAAGAGTATGTGAAAATTTAAATGAAAATCACTACCATATTATATATAATACACACATATACTGTAAAAATATTTTAATGAATTTACTGATAAAAATTTTGTTTCTATATTATCTACTGAATATTTTTCAAAAGAATTTTTCTTCTTACACTACATAACTACCTCTGTTCTGTGCTTCTAATTAAGATATGGACTTGCTTAGAGCTCTGAGGTGTGAAATAGCCAACAAATAAAAATTAAAAATGTTTTTCCTCTGAAAGACAGATAATTCAGTCACAGAGAGCTTATTTTTACTGTGTTTCCTTTGTTTTCTTTTTCTTTTTTTAGCTGCTTGGTAAGCCAATTTTCTACTTAGAATTTACTGTTAAAACTCTCATCAGGTTCAGTATGTGGGCTTTATCCTTTCCGTGGTCTGTTATACAAAAAAGATGGCTCTTTTTTTTTTTTTTTCAGTTTTCTATAAAGCAGTGGATCTCTCTTGGATAAACATGAAAATCCTCAAGGAAACCCGTGAAAGATACTGATACCGCCTCTCCTCCAGAGATTCTGAGGGAACTGGTCTGGGCGGACCCCTTAAAAACTCTGCAGGTGATTGTGTTGTGTTCCCAAGACTAAAAACTCTATTGTTTTAGGATCTAGGATCCTACCACTGTCCAAATTAAAGCTTATTATCAATCAGAAAATTGAATTCAGATGGGAAATTTTAAAATTCTGTGATTTAACAGACCAAAGATAGAATTTTTTCTCTGAGACTATTTTTTTTTTAGTTTGAATTTTAGGTTTTAAAAGCAGTATTTAATAATTAAACCTTATGTCTTCAACACAGAAAAGTAAAACATTTATTTTTCTAGATATTTCTTCCAAAAATCATTTGCCTTTTGCATACTACAGGTCACCTGAGTTTCTGAAAAGGAAACGTTTACATTTTTTCCAGCAAGTTAGTTTTGACAGAATAGCCTAATTCCTAAAACAAAAGCTCTTGCAAAAAAAAAAAGGTGGAAGAAGGAGAAGGAGGAGAAGAAGAAGAAGAAGAAATGTGTATCTTAATATATTAGGAGTGAAAAGGAGGACATTATGTAATGAAGGGTAAGTACAAAAATCATGCCTGGGCTGGAGGTGTAGCTAAGTGGTAAAGCAGTGCTTGCCTAGCAAGTATGAGGTTCTGGGTTCAATCCCCAGCACCACACACACACACAAACACACACACACACACACACACACACACAGAAAACATCAAACAGAACTTAATGAAAATATATTCAAATTCATAGAATAGATTATTTTATAGAAATACAAATTATGGAAAACTACAGAAAAAAAATCAAATTTCCAAGAAACAGACAACTTGTTAAAAATGGAATCAGTAATTAAATAATGTACTCTCCTTTAAAAACACCACATGCAAAAATTTAATAGGTAAGTTTTACCAAAACTTCAAGTACCATTCCTTTTGGTACTATTTCACATATAAAAAAAGAAAAAGCTAGCCAAATCACTCCACAGAGCTAGTAAAATCTTCCTATTAAACCTAGAAAGAATAAAACAAGGTAAAATGGTGTACCAACCTCATATTTGAGTACATTATGAAGCTTCTTTAATCTTACCCAAGTAGAATCAATCACTCCCTATTGGCTCCCATTATAGATTCACAGTCTACCCACAGCACCATCCACAACTGTTTTTCACTACTGGGGACTAATTTTAGGACTTCTTACATGCTAACTACATGCTCTACTGCTAAGCCCATTCACACTTTTAATGCACTTATACATTTTTATATTTGTTTTTCACTGGTAGACACTAAGATACTTGCTGGCAGGATAGTTTCTCAGACATATTTCCTGGTATGAAATACAGCTCAATAGTTGCTGAATGACATGGCTTCAGATAGAAATACCATTAATGTGTATGTGCAAGAAATGGGAATACTAAGTCAATGAGCAAAAGCATTTGACTACAGCATAAGTTTATATAAGAAAATAACATTGGAGGGCCGGGGATTTAGCTCAGTGGCACCACACTTGCCTCGCAAGAACAAGGTCCTGAGTTCAATCCTTGGCACCAAAAAAAAAAAAGACAATAACACTGGAAAGGTAGGCCAAGGTCAATCATCATGGGTTTTTCAGTGTGAGGCTGAGTTTAGTTTCAGAATCTACTGACGACATTTATGTAGGTGATGGCTAAATCAGATCTGTGCTTCAGAATCCAGATAAGCACATTTTGGAGCTGTCAGGGACCTGGAAGTTACTTATTAGGTTGAAATTTATTGTTTTAAAAGAAAACTAGAGCCAGTCATAGTACATAATCAACCTAAAGCCATTCAACATAAATTTAGGAAGAAGCAGGAAAAAGCTTAGAGAGAGTAAACTCCATTAAGGTCACACGATAAGTATATGGTACAAGCAAACACAGATTTTTCAACTCTAAAGTCCATGACTTAGATAACACCACACAATGAGAAATACAGACCATATATATATACCCTAATTTCATGTTAGTGCACTCATTTCAAATAAAGCTAATTTATTTAATTAGTTTTGCTTTTATTATATAACAAAGCACTTATAAAAATTCTAATTAGCTTAATTACATTTAGTCATTTTGATGAAGTCTTTTTTCTTTGAACTTCTGGACCCAAGCTCAATAAAATGATAGGTGTGAGCCAGAATGTAAAGGAACACAGAATACTTCCTCAGCTTCACAAGATCCACACCTAAAGCACTACAAGTGACCTTAGTCACTGCCACAGAATTGAAAAGTTCCAGAAAAAGGAAATTAAGAAATGTATAGCAGAGAGAGAGAATTCTTAAGAAATCCATGTTTAATAGGACTCTGAAGTCTTAAAACACAGTCGGAAAGTTTATAAAACCGATAGACAGGTATAAAGAAAACTTAAACATATTCTTCTCAGAATACTAATTCTGAGAAATACTTGAAATCTAAAAAACAACAGATTTGGAAGAAAATACAGGAACATACCATTTCACCCCATCAAAACTTTAACAGAAAGGGACAGAAGCCCTTTTTATTAAAATTATAAAAATGAAAAAGAGGATTTTGTATTCAAAGTGCTGGTACAAACTGAAAATACATATAGGTTCACCTATATGAATGAATGAATGAATGAATGATCCATTGATGGGAATAAAGATTTTTGTCCTCACATTGTAGATCAACCATTTTGATGTTCCTTTCAGATATACTGGACTGAGAAGGTGGCCGCTCTATATTCCTCCTTACATCTTCTTGCCCCACTGATGATTTGGCATTACAGGAATTTGCACAAAATAGACATTTGAAAAATTTTTGCTAATTGACTGATTAATGTTTTAAGAGGATAACTGGTAAAATAACTTTCAAAGGCATGAAATAATGAGCAAACAGTAAGATAGTACTAATGAAAATAAGAATGATAATAGTGACTAGTTAACTCTTTCATCTTCATGAACTCCATTTTCCGAACAATGGAACTACAGCACATAGTAGTTAGTAACTTGCTCAAGCACAGAGAACTAGGTGATGGCAAAGCTAGGATTTGAACCTGCAAGCCTGTGATCTTAATCACCACACTATTCCAGCCAGTCCTGAAATTGTCTAGTTATCCTCTAGCTCTGAAAACTTTTAGAATTTCATTTCATAAGTAATTTTCTTTTCTGAATACCTGAAAAAAAGAAATTATAGGTTTAAAATTCACATTTATTTCAGAACAGAAAAATACTATTACTTGATACTATTACTTGATTTACACTTCATTTAAAATGTACATATTTCTTTTAGGTTTACCTCCAGTTTTCCTTGAGCATAACCCAGCAGCAGCAGATTGGCTCTTTCCTTCTCAGAAGAAATTGGGGCCCACGGCCAACCATCATCACTGACCAGTGGCCACCAACAAACAACTATATCCTGAATGCAATTGATAGCTAGACGACGTTCTGTTGTTCTATTTACTGGGCCAGGTATTTCATAATAGGAAATCTAATGGTTTAAAAAAAAGCATACAAGAAACATTTCTTTTAAAAGATACAAAATCCTCAAAGTATTACAAAAATTAAAGCATCTGTAAATGTAGATACATGCAAGTAAATATGCATGTTAAACATGTGCTTATGAAGGTGTCAGAATTTACCAAATTCTTTTGACACATATATAAAAAAGACATATGTTCAAAATTCTCCCCATTTTCAGCAAAGGAAAGGAAAAGAAGAAATGTGAATTAGGGAGGAATTGGATGTAGCAATTCGACTCAATACCAAAATGTACAGTCATGGTTGCTTGACAGCATCGACTACACATAGGCTTTAAGACCAGCTGTATTAAATGACAAGTTCAGTACTGCTGACCAAGAGTGTCTGACTACTGTTTAAGACATAATATGTTAACAATGACTAACAACAATAAAAGGAAAAACCTTGAAGCAAATATCTCTTTAAAGAATATATGAGACATATATACATATATTCTGCATAAAAGGGATAAGCCATAGCATCATGCATAAAAGTTTATGTAGCTTCTGAGAATTATGCTTTTCTTTCTTAGGAAGGATTTGTAGAATTTATTATTCAAACTATGTTATTTTGGAACATGGTTATTTGAAAACATAAGCACGACACCATCTGGGTGACACATGCCAAGGAAATATAGATTGCACCGTATTTCTGCTTAAGGAATTAATGGAAGGTTGATAGCTTGGAAGAAAAAAAAACTATCTTGCCATTGCTGGTCAGCAATAATCGAACCACTTTCTGGGGATTAAGCGCATGGCTAAGCCTACTGGACCAGACACTAGCAAAGGGCAGGGGGTCTTCTTATCAGAGAAATGCTTCTGGAGCCAGTCTCACTACATGACAGATTGCTTTCATATTCCTGTCTGCAAGGCAACAAAGGATGGCAGTAATGCGATAATGCCAGAGTGCAATGGGTGTTAAGAACCCGTTGCATTTATGTATTGTATTTAGTAAATAATCAGGCTCATCCAAATTGTGATCTCACCACTCAACCAAGGCCATTAAAATCAAGGTTAATGCTTTAATAATCCCTTGCTATTTTTTTTTCAATATGGTCAAAAGGAACCCTTTTCTATTTGCATGGCCATAATATTATTGACCTCTTCATCCTCTGAATGCACATCAAAAGAACTGAAATCAAAGTAATTACCAGTGTTGTTCTCTCAAGGTAAACATTTAACTCCTTGCACAGTCCCTTCACTGTTAAATTGAATTGGATTTTTAAAATGTAGACAGGAAAACTTGTTAAAGGTCAATAGTTTCAAGATATTTACCCTGAAATTTTCTTTACCAAAATTATTTCAAACCCCAAATAATTAAGTTATGGCATAGCAATAAAGAAAGGCAAAATTATAATATTCTATATAACTTCCTTGTTTTAAAATCCAAATCGATAACGACAAAACACATGTATTATATGCTTTTAAGTGTCAATTCTTATATTTAAGTTCTCAATGTAATTATTTTAAGTTTATTCTTGAGAGAAATACCACTATGGAATTGTTAAGTCCTTAAAATACACACACATTAAATTTTAACATACAAATTATCATGTAAGCGTGTAAGTTACAAATTTCTAGATGAGGAAATAGAGTTAAAATGCATGCTTGGCATTTTCAATTCATATAATACAAATATTATTTGAAATTTTATGTTTCCTATTAGTTTTAATGGTGTCAGTATTCTCTCTTGATGACCAGGAGGGCAAATAAAATATAAGCTTCTTAAAATATCCTCTCAATGGATAAGTGACAGTTTTAACTAATTATCACACTTCCATAGTTTAAAATTTGAACCAGTAAATGAAATTTATAGGTTTTCCAAAAAGAAAGACTATTTTTCTAATGTGTAGAAATGACATGGAATGTCCATATTACTAATTTCTCAAATGCAAAGGCAGAAAGAATAAGCTAATTATTTCCTTTAAATTATAAGGACTATAAGGACTAGGGTTTTTTTCTAAAACTTTTCATAAGACAAATTGACACCCTGACAGTTTTTCTCTTTTTTCATTACAAGGAAGCTACATCCCTAAGTTGGGAAGACTTTACCAAGCTATCCATCACACCTAAGATAAAAGAACTAATCATACAAAATTTTATAAAATGGCATTAACAACACTTATTTTAAATGTTTGAGTTAAAGCATATTGGTATATTTAAAATACCAAAATAAGTAAACAACATTTTAAAGAAATCTACAGTTAGCCACTTGGAAAAATAACATCCCTTTAAGAATGCTTAAGGGATTCATTTTTTAATTTTTATTTTTTATTAGTATATGCTTATGATACATAATAATTACATTCATCTTGGGGAGTTGGTACATACACACATGGCATCTTGATCATTTTTACTACTTCTTCCCCAATCTCCTTCTTCCCCAGATTCCCATTCCATTTCCAGAGAGTCTACCTCCCTGTTTTCTACCATTTCTCTTTTATTTTGCTATTTAAATTATTTATAATTAGGGTCTCTCACATTAGAGAAACCATGCAATATGTAACCTCCTGTTTCTGATTTCACTTAGTATTAACAGAATAATTTTTGACTAACCAAATATAATGTGAGTACCATGAATTTCCAATTAAAGAAAATCAATACTATACAAAGTTTCATAGATGCTCCACAAACTAGCAAGCAAAACTAGACTGTAGTTTATTACCATAATGAAAAAACTCATTTAGTATATTTTATTCCATATAAATAACCTTTCTAAATAGGAATAGATGCTTCTTCTAAACAAGATTACATCCTCCCCACATTATTACCAACTCAAACATAATAAATAATAATCCCAAAGGGCAAGAAATTAGGTTAAATACTATTTCCCAAACACACATACAAATTTTAAGACAGAGAGATGACTTCTAAAAATCTTTGGCCTTGCTATAGACAGTCCAAGTGGCATAAGTGTGTATATTTTTTAAGGAAGCTGTATGTTAGTTCTGTTCCTAGTGAACAGTGAACTGTCTCAAATCCACGTCACAGAGGCTGGATCAATCTTGCAAACACAAGTCACTGCTGAAAAGAGGCCCTGAACTGAAACATCCCAGAAAATGTGTTTGATACTTACCCTAGAAGAGAGTATGCCCTCCCAGTAGTTAAAATGTAACGTAGTAAAATTTAAACACATCATTTAAAATAAAAATCTTGCCTTAATAGATGAGATGTAAGTCTCCAATACAAGGAAACAAATTACTGCGAGTTTGTGAAGGGCTACTACATATGAAGTAAATTTCTTTTTGTATTTTCTCCAGTTTTAGTTGGGGGAGTCTTCCTACTCCTTGTTTATTATACCTTTCTATTAACATTTTCAAGTGCATTCTTCTTTCTTTCATTTCTTGTAAAGTAGAAATAAGAGCAGCTATAGAGGTTCTTATGAGAAAATAGGAATGGTGTATATACTATTGCTGGCAAGAAAATTATTTTCAAAAATGTAACTTGCCTCTGTTATCTGTCTTTCACCTCCATAACTACTACATAAATTGCTCCAAATATGCCATTATTAGACATCCTCTATCTCTGAACAGTGAGAATAAAAAAGTAAAATTTAAATGGCCACTGTTTGTAGTAAGTCAAGCTTAATCCTATAATAATTCTGATTTTTCTGAAATACAGAAATGTTCAAGAATAAGCATAACATCAACTCATCTGATACTCTTACTTTAATAATACGGCTATATAAGTTGAGATCTTTACCTTGTAATCCAAGGTTGATAGTTTTTCTAGTCTTCTGTTCACATCAGGAGAATCCATCTTCTTAGTAAACTGAATAAAACATAGTTTATTTTGTGCCAAAAATGATAAAAGGATGAAATTGTCTGTAAGAAGAGCTAAAAAAAAGATTTGATAGTACCAAATTAGATTAAATTATAATAGATTTTTAGGCTAAAGTATTACAAAAAGCTATTTTCAGAAGATAAATATTAACTGGAATCATTAAGGTCTCCTAAATGTCATCATGTTCTACAAGGATATTAAAGATATTAGGAATAAATAATAACCATCAATCTATATTTTTTCTTATGAATATTTGGATATACACTGATGTTTGGGGACAACCACAAAATGAGATGTATGTGGAACCAAGCATAGAAAAGCATAAAATACTATTTCGTACCCAAACGAAAGATTTTTTAAAAACTACTTTTATTTATGCTCTACTTCTATGTTTATATATTATAAACCATCTGAGGGGATAAAGTAGACTGATTAGGAGACACTGATCAGTGTCCTCTACCAATCTCATTGTTTTTAATTTTAAAAATTTTCATTAGTGATCTTTCTTCTGAGGATATAGTTGAATGAAATAAAGCATAATATACTCAATATGTACATTATATAAATTAATATTTAATAATGAAGCCGACCAAAAACACTCCCACTGCTTTAGTTCTAAATACAAGTAGGTCGATTATTAATAACATGGGTTACATAAAGGGCCATTAATGGTATATGAAATTACTGATACAAACATATAATAGGATTTTGAGAAATATTTTGTATTTTCCCTAGAATAAAGAAATTAAATGTTTTATACATTTTTCTTTATTTCCACAGCCCTAGCCATGCAACTGGTGACCAATAGTGGATCTACACAATTACAGGAGAATCTGTAGAACTGCCAAGAAATCACATTGTTATCATGGTCCCATGAGAGTGTATTATTTTAGATATAAATAAAAGAAACAAGTGAAAAAAGATAGCTCCAAGACATGAACAGTATTGGAAGTTTCCTTTTAACTCTTATACAGGAGCATCAACATGCCAAAATTATCACAGTCACTATTCCATTTGCAATATCAACAAAGGATTTGACTGTTAGAATATGAAAACAGAGACTCTTCCACAGGGAAGCTTCCTTAGAACATCCTACAAGGAAGGAGAAACGGGATGTTCACAATCCTACCCTGCTTGTTATTATCAGTAATGTTGCAATGTTGCTAATTATAGCCATCCTGCAGAGTGCTTTTCTTTAAAATGATGTGATTGTTTCTGATTATTCAGAGGTAGCTAGTGAGAGCACAGGGAAGAAAGATTTCCTCACTTTCACCTTTGTTGTTTCCACTAGACTAGATTTTCCTTTGATTAGTCAATTCAAGATACTTGTTATTTTCAATCTTTTATGATAATGCAATCTGCCTTTAGAGCTTTTTACATTGAATAAAAGGACATAATCATAAAAATTCAGGAGTCAGCATAGTATAATGGAAAAGAAAATGAGAGTTGCAGTCAGAACCAGTGTTCAAATCTCAGCCCAGTTACTTTATAGCTTTATGACCTATAGTAGCTTAGCATCAGTTTATTTTAAAAATGAAAATAACTATACCTTATCTGGTTGTTTTCTTGGATTAAATGAAATAAATAGGTTGGCACCCAGCCTAGAGTCTTTATGGCTCAATACATGTCAGTAACCTCATTATTCAATAAATGGCTTAAATTATTTTTCTGTGTGCCTTGTACCACACTGACAGTGGTGCCACCTGATAGAACCAGAATAATCTAGCATATGAGACTATGACACTCTTTTTTTATTTAAAAAATATAACCACAATCTCTCAAAAGTTAGTATTCACAGAAGTTAGTAAAAAAGAATCTTTCTACAAGAGCTGAAATATTTATGATTTTTTTACTGGTGCCTATGTTGACATATTTGTATTATTTCACTAAAAATTCATTGAGAAATGAGATTTGATATGTCAATAATAGAGGAATAATTTTGAAAAAATATAAAGCCTATTTTGAAAAAAAAAAAGTTCCCTTTTTTTAAGGAAAGAGTAGAAAATACTCAGAATATAATAAGCCTAACACCTGACAAGAAAGGAAAAAAAATCACTGATATTAAATTTTGGTTGAAACTTGTATAAGTCCCAGGGGTTGTAAGTATGCTATTACAAGCAATTACTTGTTGTGTTTGCAGGTCCCCAGTGGTAATAATTAGTCTACCTGTTGACACACTATTTCTCCTGTCCCACTGTTAATGTAGGCAATTGATTTGCACATGGGGGTAATTACCATCACTGATTGTGTCTGAGATGAGCTTCCCCACTAGGCTTCTGTCAATCATCACTTTCTCCAGCTGTGGCCCAGAAAGGCTTAGCGACACCAGCACACCTGAACCAAAGAGGAGCTAAAACCAGGTAAGGGGGAGAAAGGGAGGAAGACATTCTGGGTATTAGAATTTTTTAAAATCTCTCTCCAAATGTACAACTTAAACAGATATTTACACATGCATTTATACCATGAAATTATAAAGAGGTTTTCTTCACTGGAAAACAATCACCCCAACATTCAGAGTAAAAATAAATAGGCACCTAACACCACTAAGTACTACACTGATTAAAGATATATGCAAAAAGCTAATTTAGTGAATGTTTATTAGAAGCCTAAATACTTACAAAGTGCCCATGAAGAAATAAATGCTTTATTTTGTATTTATAAAATGTAATGTGTACTGTATTAAAATATTTTTAAAGGTTACTCTTTATATCAAAAAGTAAACAAATTTTAAGGTTTGAATAATCATTGTTACACATTAAATATAGAAGCCATTATTACAATGTAAACAGCTAATACTATGATTTATTTGAAATTTAAACCCTACTTACTTCCAAGACCTTGTGAGTCTAAAATATTAAAATACATGTAAAAATAGGGCCAGGGATTTAGCTCAGTGGTTCTGGCACCTGCCTCGCAAGCCCAAGGTCCCAAGTTCGATGCCCGGTACCAAAAACAACAACAACAACAAAAAATACATGTAAATCAATGCAAGTAAGCAAAATGTTAAACTTTAAAAAATCTCAATAAATAATGCATACCATAAACAATTTCACAAGAACAGACAAAGAATAAAATATACAGGCTTTATCAATATCAGTGTTCAAGGAACCACCCAACAAAAGATGATTGGAAATCGGCACTGTAATTTTACACCGCTCCTTTCTATTTGTAGCAGCATAATTCATTCATCTCCAAATGTTTAAAACTTCTGAAAGGACTCTACATATGTGTGTACTTGTTATCTACAAGATTTTGAAATGTCAACATTGGAAGAAATTGTTTCACCTTCAAAGCAACAGACTCAAAGCTGATGAATCATCAAATAGCATATGGTATAAGGAAAAAAACAATTGTCAGTAAACAAATCACGAACATGCTAGCCAAATTCAAAGATAACTATGATTTAAACAAAACAGGGGAATCCCCCACCCACCTAGGCATCAAGTCTCAGCTAGAGAGAATGATTCTGTGTGAAGATATATTTGGGTATGTGTGAAAGAACAGTCCACAGGACCAGGATCCTAGAAAAAACACCACTACTCCCTCACTGTCCAGGCAAATGAATCAGAAAAAAAAACTAAAGGGTTTTTTTGGTAAATACTGTTATAATCCTTCTTCTATTCATCAGAAACTTTACTTTTCCTTGATTTAATGGACTGTTCCATTTCATGTTAATGCCTCTGTAGGAGTGTGAGGGGTCGGGGATGGGGAGACTTAATCATCTTTATGAGTTTTAAAGAGTAATAAGAGAAAGTACATTTGTTCCAAGAATTTCCAAATACTTCACAATTAATCTCTACTGAATTACATTCAGCCCTGCATCATATCTTCATGGGAAATGCTGATATATAATTACTATGGGAATTCCTCCATAGCAACATAATCTGTGTTCTTCACTCCTCAAATCGTCTCTTCTCAGACAGGCAGTTTTAAGATCTCTTCCTTATCAAGTTTTTCCCTTCAATATACTTTCTCTCTTCCCTATTATGTTCAAAAGAGCTCTAAAATCTGTCCTTTTCTACTATTTTTTCCTACTAAATATTTACACCTATAATCTTAAGTACCTCTTTCCTAATTATTCATTGACACCAGCTCCTTATGGACACTGGCTAAGCCCTATTTATCTTTGTATCTTAAATGCCTAGAATAATGCTGAACACATTGTAGGTACTCAATAAATGTCTGGAGAAAAGTCATGACTAACTCATCATGGGATTAGATAATTCACAAGAGAAAACCTGGCCTAGGCTTCCTCTTCAACATGACATGGCTTTTCCTTCTGCAGCATCCCTCCAAGCATCCAGCCCAGACTTGAGTATTGCCCATGACCAGGAGCTCACTGCATTACAGGAAAGCTGTCCTACCTTAGGACAGTTCCAATAAATTTAAAGATCATTCATTTGTTTTTTTATTCAACAAAAACTGAATGTTGATTATATGCCAAGCACTAAGCTAAATTTAATGGCTCAAAAATTAATCATATATAACCTTTAAGATAAGTTAAATGTAAGTTAATAGAGAGATAACAAGCAAATAAATGCTTTAACTCCTACTTTTAATAGGAGCGCACATTGAGTAAAATAGGAGTTTGAGAAGAAGTTGGTGACTCTTGAACTTGACAGTAAGGCTATACTATAGCTGCCTTCTCAACTTCCACTTGAGCCCAGTTTTTCTTCAGTAGTTCCCTCTTCAACTATTTAGGTAACATGATGGTTAACAATATGAACTCTGAAATCAACATTGGCTCTATTTCTTACTAGCTGTGTGATGTTGAGGAAGTTATTTCAGCTCTCCGTATCATGATCTCCTCATCTGAAAATAAGTCATGATAGTACTTACTTCATAGGATAAGAACTAAATAACTTTTACAAACAGCATGTAGAATAATACCTGGCATATAGTAAGTGTTGGCAATGACTGTTATTCAACCATTATTCATATAATATGTTCTCACTATTCTCTTTGCCATCTCTGAAAACAACTTTGACTTTTAAAAAATCTTGTAGCTGCTGTAATCTTGCACTCAAGATTAAACATGTAACATGAGATTCCAGGTGAGTTCTAACCAGGAAAAAGGATAATCTTTTGTTGCCTTTCCCAACTGCTATGATTTCATAAGGACATTCACTGTTTTCAAAGTACCTATAGGTTCCTTGGAAATTAATTCATCCAAGACTCTAATTTCTTTTTCCTGATTTTCTGCTCTCACCACCACTATCACAATATAACCCTGCTCTCCTAATAGAAACTTCTCTTTCTATATATAAGCATGCATTATGTTATAAATTTATCTTTAAAAGGCCATTTTGGTGTGATGGAGAAGGAAAGTGCAAACTGCAGGAGTAGGTAAAAGAGGGAACTAACTAATGCTGCCAAGGATTCAAAGGGGAGAGGGTGTCATGAAGCACCTGTTCTATGCATGGACATAGGACTGGTGATCTGGACACTGGATCTTATCCAGAGAGCTTGAGTATTCCTTCATAATCTTTCTCACAGGCTAGGTGTAGCCACTTACTCCTACATTCACTAATTCATTCCAAAAATACATATTTAATATATTGTATGATCAAGGTACTGTCCCAAGTTCTAATGATTAGCAGTGAATAAAACAGACGATGCTTTTGCCCTTTCTGTCCTCATGAAGTTTATGTCTAGGTATGGATGAATAACCACCAAATAAGAAATATAGAGAAAAAATATAAAACACAATAAGATAGGGATTTTAGATGAATGTTATTTTACCCAGGATGACTAACAAAAACATTAAAAGGCCTTCTTCAGAAAATAGAATTTGAGTAGATCCAAATAAAGCAAAGGCATAAATATCTGGAGGAAGTGAATTCAAGACAAAGAATAAATGTAAAAATTCTGAGCGTGGAATGTGCCCTGGATAACTGAAGAATACCAGACCAGATTACTTGGGGGCCAGTGAGAGTGATATTCACAGAGAACAAAGGCACAGAGGTAGTCAAGAGCCAGGTTAGGCTGGATCTTGTTGATGAGAAGCCACTGGATTTCAAGCAGCAGAGAATTATGATCTAATTTAACTTTGGGGGAGGGAAAAGAGCAAGGAGACCATGATGAGGCTGCTGCAGTAGTTCAGGAAAGAGAAGAGAATGGCTTGAACTAGAAAGTCAATGCTGAAGGCACTGGGCAGATTTCAGATATATTTATTCTCTCCCCGCCGCCCTTCATTCATTTCGATACCAGGGATTGAACTCAGGACCTTGAGCTTGCCAGGCAGGCATGGGACCACTGAGCTAAATCCCTAGCCCTACTGAGATATATTTTAAAGAGTATTTACTAGCACTTGCTGAAGGAGTGTGTGTGGCAAGAAGCTCAAGGTTTTCAGCTTGAGCAACTAGGTTATCTGAGATAAGCAGAAGTAATTTTAGATTATGGGGAATCAACAGTTTGGTTTTGGACATTATAAGTTTAAGATGTTTATGGAAATACAATGGAGATATCTACTAGACAATCAGAAATGAGTCTGAAGTTCAGTGGTGAGTAGGGGCTGGAGATTTTTATTTGGGAGTCACCAACAATATAAAGACAGTATTTTAAGTCATGGAAATGGACAAGCTCTCCTTAAAAAATGAGAGGAAAGAGAGAAAAAGGTCTGATGTCAGAGCTCTAGCATATTCTAATCTTTAGAGAGATGATCAGGTTAGCCCTCTTATTGAAACCAAGACTGGGTACTTGTTAGAATCAAGGATTTCCAGCATTTCAGATCTCTAAATGTTTTGTAGCTAGAGGAATTTCTGATACTACATTTTGGAATATGAAGGCATAGATAAATTAATAAGCTGATTAATACATTGTATAAAACAGCCTGTGGGAAAGCACAAAGTTTCCAAAGTACTGATGCCAAAGATACTCCTGGATATACTAAAGGAGATAACCAGTGTTAGGAAAAAAATAGTCTGAAAGTCAGGGAAAGAATATTCTAGCCCAGACAAGAAAGTGCTAGTTTCAACTCTGACAATTTTCCCAAAGCAGTTAGTCTTAAAGTCCTCAAAATGAAAAAGGGTTAGGACGTTATAAAATTTGGTAAGATAAGAAGGAAAAAGAGTACTAAAGACTATGTCCTGTTAAATAGCAAGTGGTCAAAGAATTCCGGCAGCTCAAAAAATGAAAATGAGCAGGCCAAGTGGCAAAGGTAGGCACCTCTGAAGAAGAGGCATCTCTGAGCTTGAAAAGAGCTCTAAGGATGAACCACCACTGTCCTTTTAATGTTATCTTTTGTGCAGGAAACAACTAAGGCAAAATTACTGAAACTTTTCCTTTTTTCTGACACCCCTCCAATCAAGAAGTGCCTTCCTTATTATCCTGCTATGACCACGTCTCTAG